GGGGGGGGGGGGGGGGATGAATCAATATGATAAAGATGTGGTTCCAAGAAATTTGAAATAGGAATAGAGGAAAGAGGTTGAGCGTGGGAGCTAGGGATAGCAGGAAAGTGAGTTTCATCAAATTGAGCATGACGGATAATATAAAGCTTAGTAGTGGCGGGATCAAGACAGTGGAACCCTTTATGCGTAGGACTATAACCCAAAAAAATACAAGTTATGCTGCAGGGAGAAAGCTTGTTAGGCATATAATCACGCAAATTAGGATAAACACGACAATCAAAGGGATGAAAATTGTCATAATGTGGAGTGTAGCCATAAATGAGTTCAAAGGGTGACTTACCTCCAAGAAGTGGAGTAGGCAACCGGTTGATAATATAAGTTGTCGTGCTGAAAGCGTCAACCCAAAATGAGGAGAAAGATGAGAGTGAAAGAGAAGGGTCAAGCCAGGCTCAGTCACATGACGATGTTTTCTCTCGGCACGACCATTTTGAGCAAGTGTATATGGACACGAGAGTTGATGGTGGATGCCAGAATTACGTAAATGAGTTTTGAAATAAGTGCTAGTAAATTTGGTACCTCCATCGCTTTGAAATACCTTGATACGAGAAGAATATATATTTTCCACAAAATTTTGAAATTGAAGAAAAATATCAAAGAAATCATATTTAAATTTTAAAGGGTAAAGCCAAGCGAATCGAGAATAATCATCAATAAAAATAACATAATAAAGAAAACCTGAATTTGATTTGACGGGAGGACCCCAAAGATCACAATGAATAAGATCTAACACATGAGACGACCTACGTTCATTGCGGGAATAAGGCAATCGATGACTTTTCGCAAGCCGACAAGTATTACATAATGATGGAGAAGGCAATAAAGACGTAAGAGAAAGATGACATTTTCTATTTAAAAAAGAAATAACAGAATGATTCACATGACCCAAACGAGCATGCCATAAATCATATGAAGCACGTAAAGATTTGTTTCTAAGGACTGAAATAAAAGCAGAGTTGCCGCGCTCCAGCACATACAATCCTCCATCTCTTTTACCGGTTGCCACCACCATTCATGTTTGACAATTCTAGATAGTAATAAGATTATTAGTAAATGTAACGGTGAGAGGAAAATCAGACGTTAATTTACTTATGGAAAAAAGATTTTTCGTGAGGTGAGGTGAGGGACAACCAAGACATCTAATAAGTGCATATTTGGAACAGGAGAAAGACTACCCAAACAATTAAAATTAAACATCTTTTTTAGAAAATAATCTGTTTGAAAAATTAGTGTTTTTTTTTTTTTTTTTTTTTTTTTTGTTAAAATCTCCCATCCCTTTCTAAATTGAAAACAAAAATAAAATCATATTAACAGAGAAACTTTTTTTAAAATTCAATAATCGAAAAAATGAGTGATCTAACCGGCAATCATTAAAATGACATTAAGTGCCTTATCTTATAAGATAGACTTAAATTTAAAAATATTGGCACGAGGCAGAGATTTACCTTCATTACATACCTAATTAAAAATGGTTAAACCGTATAAAAGCAATAATGGTTATATAGAACAAGAATAAAGCAAAGTAAGTTAAAATTAGAGTTAGAAGGGTAAGCATTAACCTATAAACATCACTCCACACCTCTTCCATTCTCATATCACTTCCTTTTTCTCTCTCCCATGCTTATCACCAATCCTTGTATTATTAAGTTTTCTTGGGCTCTTCTTCTAACCTTAAATGTTTTTCTTTCCCTTCTAATTCTATTTTTTAACCATGCCTTGGCTGTTGGATTGAAATTCAATATTATTAGTCTCGGCGCCAAGTCCGTTGGAAAGATCGATGTCTCAATTGTGCTTCAAACGATATAGGCTAAGGCATGTGACTCGTCTGAACCAGCCAATATTTACGTTCTCAAGGATATATTTCACGTTCGAAGTGTGAGCTTTAATGGGCCTTGTAAGAACAATGTTATTACGGTTCTCATTGATGGAACTCTTGTAGCTTCCTCAGACATTCAAGTTTTAGCTAAAACTAAATCTTGGATTGAGTTTAGTCACATTTCCATTACTGGTGGTATTATTGATGCGCCAGGAACTGCCTTATGGGATTGTAAACGCTCAGGGAAGATTTGCCCTACGGGAGCCACGGTAGGCAAAATTTAAGTGGGCTAGATAAAAAATAAAACTTAAAAAATTTTCTTTAGCGAAAAGTTGAAAGAAAATGAATCGATTAATTACAATATTAATTTAAATTTATACTAATTCTTGCTTTTGATTGTTTTGAATCCATAGAGTCTTCAAATAAATGATGCACAAAATGTGAACGTCAATGGATTATCTTCAATTAACAGCCAAAAGTTCAACATTGTGGTGGATGGGTGTCAAAACGTGCATATGACAAGAGTGAATGTCTCGGCTACAGACGATAGTCCAAACACTGATGGCATCCATGTGCAAAAATCATCAAATGTGACAACTCGAGCATTAGCAACGGTGACGACTGCCTCTCAATCAGTCCAGGGACCTCCAACTTGTGGATAGAAAGTATTACATGTGGACCTGGCCATGGAATTAGGTAGCTAGAGATAGATTATGACAAACCTGTTTAGAAATATTTTTTTAGAGGGGTCAAATAAAATTTTCACATTAAATTTTAAAATATAAAATTAAACATTAAATTAAATTTGAATGATTAAACATATATTCTAAAGTTATTAATTATTTTAAAATTATTTTGGATCAAAATAGTTATTTAATATATTAAGTTTGAGTGAGAAAATTAAACCTCATGAAAAATTTGGTATTGTATTGAATGTATTTGTAGCATTGGGAGCTTGTGGATAAAGGCTGAAGAAGATGGAGTGCATAACGTTGAGGAAGATGGAGTGCATAACGTTACAGTGACATTATCTACGTTCACCGGGACTCAAAATGGAGTAAGGATTTAAGTCTTGGGGAAGACCAAGCAATGGGTTTGCTACAAAAGTTCATTTTCAACCCATTATTATGGATAATGTGAAAAACCCAATTATAATTGATCAAAATTATTGTCCACACGAGGAACGAGGAACAGTCTCCTGGTGTAATGCCCCTAATTTTCTAAACCTAATTAGCGACGCCATCCATGCATACATAATTCATTACGAAGCTCATCCTAAATAACCTTGAAAAAACATAAGAAAGTCTCTCATAAATATTCATAAATCCAAAACAACGTATCTCCAACAATAAACCTTCAATAACCGAATTCAAAGATAAATCTAAATAAAGCAATACTCAATAATATAACTTAAAACTTAAATAACTGAATTCAAAGATAAATCTAAATAAAGCAATATGATATAACTTAAAACTTTAATAACCGAATTCAAAGATAAATCTAAATAAGCAATACTAAATGCTATAACTTAAAATAGTCGAATAAAGGTAAACTCTTAAAAATATCCCATCTCCAACTTCCATAATGTCCTCAACTCTGCCGTCAACCGTTGGCGCCTTGCTTTTACCTGAAAAATGTAGGTAGCACATGACTTGAGTATTTTATGAAATACTCAGTAAGTCACCCCACTGTTGGGGTTAGGAATGCAAACACATGCAACATTCAGTGGGATCTAACTTTTCATAAACTTTACATAGCCTTGGGCGTTTTTCTATTCCGTGTAGGGTTGGATATGTGGTACTCCTTCACACATGGCCCATGTACGAGTACATAAACCCACCAGGCGGGCTCGTATACATACCCCTTGGGCCTAGCTTGGTTGGGCACAATGTGTTACACGTCGCCGGACACCACAGAACAGAAAAGGGCCCGCATGATATCATGGCGAACATAAATATCGTAATTCATTTTTTTGTATCATAAAGGGGAAGAATCCCGATGCACGTGACATACATATATGCATGAGGACCCTTTACATATCTAACATGGCGTTACATAAGCAGTGCTAACATCGCATGTACGTTTCTTACATTACATGGCATCTCACATGACTTACATTACATGGCATATTACATAATATGAAAGTATATTCTAGTTGCATAAACATCTCATGACATGACTCGATAATTTTACGTGTATCTATGGCATCGATCAACATATTCATGGCATATAATACTAACATCTCATTCATAACTTCACATAAAATAAACAATCAACAGTCAACATAATTCATACATCATATAACATACACAATCTACAGTCAACACAATCTATACATCACATAATCATTTCAGATAAATATGGTGCATGCAGGGGCCACAGGGCACGCACCATCATACAACACGTAGTAAGCTTACTCCAACGTAAGGTCACTTACCTCGATGGTCTTGGTTGAAGTCACTCAAAACGAGTTAATCCCAGCGGTTAAATACATCCTATAATAACCACATAAAAGCTTAGGAGCCTTTCATAACATACCCTAGCTAAATCTAATGCTATTTATCAAAATAAACTCCCGACCTAATCTGTCTTTAACATTTAGGAACTGTACTAACCTTGGATGGTAAAACTAGGGATAGAAACGGCTTCGGAAGGGCCAAAAACCTAGGAATCAATATATTATAGTGATACCGAGTCATCAAGCCGAGCTGCCGAGCCTACCAACTAAGCCGCCAAGCCGAGCTGCGGGATTTGACAGAGCCGAGCTGCGGGATCTGACAGAGCCGAACCGCGGGTTTTGATGGAGCCGAGCCGAGAGCACGCGTGCGGAGCCGAGACCAAGGCTGCAGCGCTCGTCCGTGTTGGGCGGAAACGCACAGGGCCCGCGTTTGTTCCGTGGGCCGGTTTAGAGGCTGAAACCTGACCCGACTTTGCATCTTCTTCGCCCAAACCCTCACGAAAACCCTAATCTGATGTGCCGCCACCGCCGACGCAGACGACGCAATCCCTTCCGTTTCCAACGACGGTATGTGGCGTCTTCCTCCTTCGTTCCAACGGTTTTCCTTCTTTGACACAGCGATTCTGACGTCGACGTTAACTTTCACTCGACTCTTCCTCCAAAACAGCAATGCAATTGATTTCGAGAACTCGCCAAACAAGAAAACTACCCAGCGAACCACCCACACGTTTTCCTGGCTAACACTCGATTTTCCCAGACTCTTAGACACCTTCGAAAATCTAAAAAGAGTTTGGAGAGCAAAAGTCATTTTCAAGAAAGGAGGGAAGGAGGAGAGTTGAATATAGGAATATAAAAGGTCTTTGTGACTTAGACACCCTTGAAAACCTAAAAAGAGTTTGGAGAGAAAAAATAGTTTTCAAGGAAAGAAGAGGGTTGAATATAGGAATATAAGAGACTTTTCCATTAAGGTAGTAACTTACCTGTTAACTTTTTCGGGAGAATAAATGCATAACATAATATCTTGTCATACCTAAAAATAAAAATAAAATCTTAACAAAATAAGGCAAAAATGGAAAATTTGAATTGTTACACCTGATTAGGTATATTTTCTCACTAATCTCATACGTCTAATTGTATTTAACCTAAAATTTGAATAGAACTTAAATTTTTAATTTTATAAATAATTTATTTATTTTACCTTTAATTATTTGAAATTTGTTTTTGTTTAAAACGGGTGCTAAATTATTAGTATTATTTTGCTACATTAAATTACTTTTATGGATAATAAATTGCAGACTCTATTACCCACACATTTCTTAAAATGGTAGGAGGCTTTTATGATTTTATTTTTTAATTTATCCAAAATATTTCATGCTCTAACTAATATATACCATCTGAGCATTATATTTATATCTTATTCTCTTATTATTGAATTCCTAATTTATATTTAGTTTTACTAAAGTTTTCATAGTTTAGAGTTTCATGGAATTAAAAGTTTTAGGTGGAGAATAACTCATTAAAACAAGTTTACATGGTAAAAAAAATTTTATAGATGTCTTTGTTTATCAGTTTTCATAGCATATGTTGATTATTTTTCTTTATTTTAATAGGCTTCTGGAGTTAAAGTTAACAGAGTAACATACGAAGACATCAAGAGAACTTCCGCCACTAAAATAGCAATCAATTTTGATTGTAGCCCAATAAATCATTGCACTAGATTAAGTTTGAAAGACATAAAGCTCACGTATGAGAATCACATCGTTAAAGCTTCATGTATAAATGCTGAAGGATCTGCGTCAATGATCAAGATCGTATGATGTATTGTCATGTTTCCTTCTCGCTATTTTGAAAATAGTACATACTTACACAAACTAGGCTAAACTTATTTATTTGCAAGTGAAGTCAAACTTAAGACCCACTATGTTAGCAATAGCTTCCCTTCGAAACTTTGGCAATCTACCAAGCTCTTGTTATTTTTAGGGCTTTTTTTAATCATTGGACCTGAGTTGAATTTAGGAGTTATGGCTCAATCTTAGGAACAAAGAAATGAACTATTAAGGAAGACGTGAACCTTTCCTTCATGAAATACTCTCTTTGTTGTAATTGACAAACTCTTGATCTTAAGTGTAACATTTTCATAAAGAACTTAGAATTGAAATACATTGGATTAGTTGATCAAATTGGAATTTCAAATGTCCGTCTTGGGACCCAAAAAAAAAAGAGTTTAATCCGAAAAATTTTCTTACAATTCTAGATAATAAGGTATAACTCTGGGCTCTTAGTTTCATAGTAAAGATGGTGAAATCAAAGTGAAATGAGGGCTAGAACATGCCAATGGAAAAAAGTTTCAGTCACCAAAGTTCGAGGTAAGTTTGGTTAACCCCATGATTTTGAGCCTAAATTTCTCTTTGCTTAGTTAATGTTAATTGCTGAAATTGGTACCGATATGTTCAAGTTGAAGATATTTTGAAATTTGGTGAAGGAACCAATTTCAATCGAGGACTAGAACGTGCTGACCAAGAGTGAAATCAGACTATCTAAGTCTTTCCCACATGCATGTCCTAATGGTCCCAAGGTAGAAGATGATCCTGTGATCGGTTCAACTGAACTAACCATTAATGTTTCATCTAAACTAGACCGGTTAAACTCTTTACTGTTTTAGTTCATATTTTACCATTATATATGTTATTTTTAATCCGTTTTTACTATTTTTTTTTAACATGAATTAGACCTAATTATGATATTTGTGGAGATTTAAGCCTGAGGAATCAGTAAAACAAGTGAACTTTTTCAAGCATGTAAATAGCCATTTCGATTTTTTTTTTCAAGATTACTTGTACAAATTGGCTTGGACATGTTTGATATGTGTGATCAGGTTGTTAGGATAGAAATATATATGTCTAGGACATTGAATCATAATTTATGATCCTCCTTTGATTGAATTCGCCTTATAGGACAAACTAACTATTATTCATGTCTTTATTGAAATGAGGTGCTCAATTCATGTCTTAACATTTATTTCTACAATCCAAAACAATGGGCAAGACTAATCAACACATATCATCAAGGTCTCAACAAACAACTTGGTACTATGTACTAGAAAACTCGACCTTAATTCTTCCAGCCATAGCGAGTAAAATTGTTCTATCATGGCTTGAGGGTCAAAGCTAGTCCAACTTTAGTACCCTTATCAATCTCTTTGGT